ATTCGGAAGTACTTCTCTCTGCTGTATGTGACAGTCGTTAAAGCAGTCATCTTACTCAAGGTAAAGTAGGACACAATATAACTACCCTATGGAACAGTAATATATTTCCGTGATCGAACCCTGATACAGAAAGTAACACTTCTCTATATATAGCTAAATATAGCACAAGACCTTGAACAGGTTTACTTGATATACATGAGTGATATGAAACAATTTCTTACATGTACAAAACATAGAAAGTTGAAAGTAAACGAACTAGATTTATAAAAATTCGAAGCTGAAATGTTACAAATCCGATCTTCGAAAAACTAAGATTTTTATAGATATAAAATATGTAATATACAAGATTGACATACGTGGATTTTACGTACCACTATCCCTTTCCCCTGACTTTAGGCTTGTCATCATGTTAACATTAAGTTAAGTTGCAAATTTAAAGTTTACCGTGAGATTTAGAAAAAATTACATGAATATCGCAACCCTCGATTAGATTGGACTTAATGTACAGAACAGCACGGAACGTACTGAGTGATGCTGCACGAGATGATACACACATCCTCGAGACACACATGAATGATCAATATTCTTACCTATTACATAAACCGTTAACTAAACATGTAGCAATACAAAGACATACACTTTAATACGTAAAAATAAAAATGCACAATCATAATTCAAAATAAAACTTTTATACACAGAACCCAATAGAATACAAAACAAAATATCATAAACCCTGGAAAATTAATCTTTTATTTTACTATATACATATGTATATAATAAAACAAACCCTTGATTAAATATCGAAGTACAATGAAACAAAAACAGAGCTAAAAAAAAAAAAAGAAACAAGCTGGGAGTGATGCAAGAAAGAAAGGGTGGAAAATTTCAAAACATATCTAAGAATCGTGCTGTTCCTGCAGAGTGTACATTAAGTATAACATATTTGAATCAAAATGCAAAATGAAGACAATGGAATTTAACCAAACAGTATAGCAAAACAGAATCAACAACAAAAATCAATATAGTAAGAGACCCTATACGACACAAAACAACATACATAACCTTTTTTTACATAAGGAAATGAAACACGCACAACCTAAAATCAAAGTCATCAAAAGAAAAATAGAATAGCAATATTCACATATGTACGTATCTAGGTATTAACAAAAACAAGAAAAGAATGAAATCACAATATAAAATAAAGAAAAATAACAGTACTATTCCGTCGAGTTAAACTGGCATTATAAACTTTTAAAACGCAAATCAATAACGTAACCCTTTACTCATAAAAAATACATACAATGCTTTACATGAATGATAAGAAACTATTTATTTACAGAATGTACAAAGTATAGACAATCAAAAGTAAACAAATTATTTTATAGAAACTTGAAGATAAAATATACATGAATAAGATAGAAATTAAATGTATATTTAAAAAAGGAGTAGATATATAAAATGTACATATTTATATGTTAAAGGACTCTTAACGAGCTAACTCATGGGGTGAGCAGTGCCTTTTGTTGACATCCTCCAAATAAGATTTTCTTTCAGGACGGGTCTTTTTTCATCATCTTCAGCTCGTTCAAAGCGTTATGCATGTTCACTGGCATTTTGAAGTGTCACACTCTTCTACTTCTACTGCTAAGTTGATGGCACTATGATTTCTAATTTAGAGGAAGAGTTATAGGAGGAAAGAGCAGAAAGTTTGCAACTCCAATTTCCACAGAAAAGTTGGGAGTCAAAACTTCCTTAATTACATCTTCTTATCTTCCTCCGTGTACTCTTATGGAGAAGTTATCAAAAATATATGAAAACCACGAGAAGTTGGTCCATGTCCATTGACGTGGTATTTGGAGGAGCATCAACTTGAACTAATTGTCAATAAAGTCTTTACAAAGTCTTCTAGCTTCATAATAAAGTTCACCTTCAGGTCGAGGTGGTTTTCCTTGATTAACTTTAAATTTAAAATAAGAAGAAGTTGGCAAGACTGCAAGAATACTGGACGAATAAGAATAGCTGTTGTTCTGTGCCAAGTGAAGAGTGATGGAAGTAATGGTTAGGTTAAAGACTGGTTAAAGATCTTTGTGGCATATCAAAAGTTCAGGGTCTAGTATAGGATTTTAGTTGATGAAACATACATTCAAAATGTAAACCAAAGTTTCTCAAATTATCTACGTATATAGTCAGATTTAAAGGTTTCGTATATACTGTCTAAATTAAATTATATTTTGCTGCAGCTATCTTGACAGACTTCAAACAAAACTTACTACTCACATCTTTGTCGACTTATACTGGTCAATTGATGTTCTCCCTACAGAGTAGAAGCCTGATTTTTAGGTACCATGAAAAAGCATTTCACATGACAGTCGAGCTGATTTTCATACAGGGTTGTCAGATTTCACAATAAAAACAAGCCACTCCTTAACCATCAAACGTTAACCAATGTAGTTCTGTTATAAAGCTATAGTAATACAAAATACTAGCAAATATTAAAGCGACTCTTAAAAAAACATATCTGCAGGAAATAAGCGTTATTTGCAAACCTGATGAAATAACAAAAAAAAAAAAAGACAATTGGAGCTCCATAGCTGACAGTCTATAATTGAATGTCTACAGCAGAAATCTTACATAACTGACTTGAAATAAAATACAGTTTCATTTATACTGCTGTCTAGTTTGTCAGTGATTTGACAAGATACCTATCCTCTATTAATTATGGATGGCATGACAGTAACCAACGCCCACGTCACCTTTATTGTTTTGGATCGATATGTGTACAACAAGAGAAAGACAGAACATTGAACTAAATCATACTCTGCACCTTTTGTCACACAGTAACAGGAGAAAACATCAATTCCTAAAAATATAACGCTAGATCTTTGCCTGTTTTTATGTTGTACATTCTAATAACCGAACTTAGTTTTCTTGAATTGAATTTGTACTTTTAAGAAAAGACAGCTATACACTGGTAAAGTCTTCTCAGTAGCATTTTCTTCATCTGCTTTTATTCTTTCGAACATGGATGCTTTATTTGATTTGTGTGTTTTAACTAATCTGTTTTGATTAATGTTTACCACTAATAAGTATTAATTTGCATTTTGGTTTACAACACAAACACAGATTTTGATTAGTATGGGAGCAAATACAATTTACACGTGTTCATTACCAGAAATTAATTTAGCCTGACTGTTCACCGCATTATGCTATCATCAGTAGACATGCATATCAGACACTACTAGCATATAACATAAAATACAATTTGGTAAACAATTCAGCACACTAGAATTTTTCGAGAGGAAAAATAAGTAAATAAACACTTTTGCTTCGTGTTTCTTTTCAGTAGAAATTACATTTAGTTCATGGTGTAATTGTAGAATATACAAATACTGTTTTATAGTATTCTTTATTTTTATCTTCTTTCTATGTTCATTGTACAGATATGCCAAAATTTTTACTGCAAAAGTACGGCCTGACCTCGTTATGCAGGTTTGTTAATAATTTCTTCAGAGAACCTTCATTTGAAGACAAACTTGAAAGGACAGGCATAGTGATTCGCAGCACGGAGAACGAATAAGATAATAAATCATGTTGCAGTTGGGATACAAATAAAACACTGGAAAACTGAAGTAGGTGACGTAAGGTGTACAATCTGTCCGATAGAAATTATTTCTGATGCAGTATAAACGCTCGTTTGTCAAACAAGCAAGCACACACTCACCAATGTGTTTGTTTAGGTAAATAATGAAGATTGTTCATTTGAGCTTTAAATTCTAAACTGTTTCCAATATCTTTATTTCGTCATCACGAATTAAATATTTCAGAGAGAAATCAGAACTATTCCGTTATAAATATTTTAATGAACCTCTTATTATTCAGCGGACTTATCTCATTGCTATAAAGAAAATTAGTTACACTTAAAAATGTCACACGTGCTTCTGTGATTTGCTGTTCCCAAAGTTCAATTAAGGTCTAGTACCTTAAAAACAATTTGTAAAATAAGGACGTTTGGTCATTAGTATGTAAACTGACCACCAGAGAGCAGGGTAATTCAGATTATACAAGATGTTCTAAATAAAACAAATATTTCCAACTGTATCGGTTTCTTCATATATTTAGGAATCGTCAGAAAATTTAAAAATGTCACTGCCATAGAAGCTCTCCAGAGCGTTAGTAAGGCCCCAAAGCTAATCTTTTAGCGACTCACCCCCTGTGTCACATTTTCCTACAGAGAATTTAGGTTGATTGTTTTTCAAATTAGCACAAAGCTACACAATTAGCTATTTGTGCTCTACTCATCACAGGTAGCAAAATCCGATTTTTAGCGTCGTAAACCTGAGACTTACTGCTGAGCCAATGGGGCCCCAAAGAGAAAAATGTGTATTTGTTATAATTTTTGTTTTCCACTATTATGACAATTTGTATTTACTTCTTAGGTTTGTTTGTTCATTTTGTTATTAAGCAAAAGACTACACATTGGGCTATCTTCACTCTGCCCACCATAGGTTTTTAGAGTTATAAGCCTTTAGACTTACCGTTGAGCCATTGAGGGAGGTAGCTACTTATTAGGTTTCTTTCGCATTTTCATAAGAATCGAACTAACTAAAGAATATTATGTAAGAAAATAAATCCATTAACCAGGTGCTTTCGGAAAGTGGACTTTCCTTCGTCAGTGGTAAATGGCAAACTATATTTCGTCAAACATTTCCTGAAAATCAAAACACAATTACATATATAAAATACAACAAAGTAAAGAGAAAAAAGCAGGAGGCTATAAAAATATTTTATTAATTTAATTAAGAGGAAAAATGTATACTTGTCAATCGAAATTAGATTGTCTACTGAATTTGCTATCTTTAATTGTTTATTATTGAATCGTTACAAGCCGATTTCGTTATTATAAATAAAATGTCATATAATTATATAAATGATCCCTTAAAACTGCAACCAGGCAAGCAATGGTCTGGTGTCGTAAATATTACAGAGTTCGTTCACCATGTTTTTACCGTGGTTGATGGAACGGGAAGTGAGGTTTTGTGATTGACAAATACTCGTTCTCAAGATATAACATTAAGAATGTAGGTATTAAGTAGATACAATAATAATTAATATCGCAATGAGTAGTGTAAGCGATGAATGTTTAAGGGAACTACTTGTTAAGAAAGAAACGGAGAAAAACGTAAGAGAATCTTTGAGTTTGACTGAGGTAGGGCTTCATTTGCCAACACGGACGGAGAAAAAGGTATTAGTATTATTGTTAGTAAAGTTTAACTAACTTCCGTAAGTGAAAATATAGGACACTCAGAGTAAAGAAAGTGTTATAAGTAACTGTATAAGTGTACCATATTGCTGCCAATGCTGGTTCTTTATCGTTCATTGAACAGCGTGTATATGTGTTTTGTGCCATGTGGTACCGCATACAATTATTTTTAAATTTTAATTATTAATGAAATGACTAGTGGTATATATATTCTTGTATCAGACAGTTCGAGCTTTGTTAACTTATTATTATTAAGATATGCTACTCTTTTTGTTATTTTCAGTGTAGTACTTGACATAATATGGTAAACCCACAGAATATTAAACAATCGTATCAAAATGGGCAACATGAGGGAAATTTATTGATTTTTTCAACAGTTGAGTTTGGTTTCAGCATTAAAAAATGATATATATTGTCGTAAATGAATAAGTATTCATGTTTATAATATGCAAGAAGTTTCAAAAGAATTTGGTGAACTTGAATTTGGAAGCATCATTGAAACTTGTGACTCAAATTGGTCTCAACCTTGCAGCTGTTAGTAGTAGTATTGTTAGCTTCATGTCATGATGTACTTTGGAATTATTAATGGGTAAAAGGACTTATTAGCTATGGATATGGCAGATGTAGTGTTTTTGACATAACATTTTTCTTTGCAATATGGTAGATGTATTGTGCTTGACATATAACATGTTTTTCTTTGTGATGTGGTAGATGTAGTGTGCTTGGCAAATTAAAATATTTTTGTGTTTTTATTCATAAGATTTTTGAATTACTGAGATAAAGAATTTTTATCTCTTAAATATATATCCTAAATATGTGACCAAGTACTAAAAGTATGGAATAGGAAACGTGTAAATTAGCAAATACTTTTTGAATTTAAACCCAGGTAGAAGATGGGTGTCATACTTGTTTAGAAAACTCAGTCAGGATTTTAGTCTAGTGTATATGTATATATACTTGTCTACTGTGCTATTAATATTACTTTATTAACTTGAGATTTATTAGCTTGAACTACCATAATGAGGGCTGGAATGCCAACTTCAGGAGAAAGTTTTTTACTCACCACCTTAATGGTAGGACTTTTTTTCTTGTTTACTTTTTATTTCTTTTCTTCCTTCAACTGTCTGTAGGCAGTGAAAGGTGATATGGATGTGGGACATTGTGAGCTTGGATGCTCACATCTTGCTTTTTTATTTTTTATTTTTTCTTATTTTACTCTCTTATTATTATTATTATTTCTTTACATGTGAGGCTTTGTGAGTGGATGATAAGACTGGTAGACAATGTATTTCCACTGCTATGTATGTTCTACTTCCACAGCCATCTCCAAAAATCATGACATATTTTATACTTCACATTATAGCCTATGCCCCGGTGACTTTGTTTTGTTGTGAAGTGTATTTGTTTAAGGCTTGGTTTATATTATAAGTATTTTTTTTTCATTATAGGTTTGGTCTTGTTGTTTGTAATGCTGTTCTTTTTTATTTTAATATTAAATGCTTAGATAATGTTTGTTTACCTTGTATATATATATATATATATATATATATA